ATGTATGTATGTATGTATGTATGTATGTATGTATGTTTGTATGTATGTATGTATGTATATGCAACATACTTCATGTGTGTATGCGTATATATTTATGCATGTGTTTATATATGTATGTTTGTATGTATGTATGTATGTATATATGTACATGTATCATACTTCACGCGTATATGTAGGTTCACTCGCATACACAGGCGCAGTCTCCGTACGGCTGAATTCCAATAAGTTATGCGTTATCACAGTCGCATTTTTAGGGTTTTAGGGTTTTATCCGTTCTCACAGTCGCATTCACTGAGTGCGAGTTTAAACGTTTAAAGACTTTCGTTAAATTAAAGGCATTAAAGGTCGTAAGCCAATGGTATAGCCGAATCGATTTGTCCGGTTTTTTTTGGGGAGGGTTTTTATAATAATAAAAAGTTCAACTGGTAGGAGACAAAATTCGTCGCTCGCTGATCAAAGTACGTAAAAGGGCACTTTATTATTTTCGTTAAAAGGGGTGTGACGTCATTTACGTACTAATAGTCCTGAGTAAACTTTCTAAAAAAAGGACGTATAAAAGTGCACCTATGGCCCCCGCCCACCTGTAGAAACGAAAGTGCAACTTTCAAGGCACGTCGGCCGTAATTTCAACTTTAATATTAAACTTTTTAAACGTTAAAAATGGCGTTAATCGTTTAGACTCGCCCTGACTGTAGTGGATTCCCATATGCAACACATCGATGTAAAATGCAGATGCACTCCCGTTAAACGCATACGTAGGCCCGTGTTATGCGACACGTGGATATAGAATGCGGATACCACTCACGTTAAACGTATACACAGCCCTTTGAGCACCCATGAGCACGACAGCCTGTACACCCCCACCACGCCCATACACACGTCCACTCATGGGCGGAAATACGACTGAGGGTACCTACTATATTCGCGTCTGTGTATAAACGTATCATCCATAAACGTATTGGTGCTTAAGCGTACTGTGCTTCTATTTGTACAGGAAGCCAATGGTGCCAAACGCACAGACTCTGGTCTAACCGCGCCTGGGAATGACACACCAATGGACGCTGATGATGGCGGTACGTTTTCATGTATACCTAATTTTTGTCGATACGTTATGTGTATTAAACACGTAGGTTTATTGTTCATAGCACGGATAAATACATACCTACATCGTATAAATACATGGTAGACATACACACGCATGTTTTAGGCACTCGCATATGTATGGATGTGTGTCCATATGTATGTGCTATTATATCATCAGGTGCAGTCGCCTGCGTATGCATGAGTATATATGCAGCTTTCTCTTAAGCGGGCCTGCATGTGTACTGTGTACTGTCGTGCGCACATAAGACAAGGGGTGGGTTATCGGTGTTTGTTCCGTGATTACACGGCGAAGGTTTTAGGGTTTTAGTTTTTTAGGTTTTTAGATAAACTATGCCGTTGCGTCTACCAACGCGTTTGTAAAGGGGATTCAAAAGAGGCCTGCAGCGTTAAGCTGGAGCCTTCTTGTCATCTCCAACATAGCTGTATGGCCATGCACACATCACAAAGCATCTACTTATAGAACAAGCCGAGATCACCACGTCTAAATATAGTACAACTTCTTGCTCCGTAATCTATTTATAGAACAACGAGGACGCAGCTATGCCCAGAGCCGCAACTATTCGCGGTCGCGAGACTCATCGGCACACGCCCCTGCGGTGGACCAGTCAAGTAGGTTCTATTTATAGTGTAACCATATATAGTAGGTTCTATTTATAGTGTACCCATAATTTGTTGGCTCTAGGTATAGTAAAGCTATGAATAGTTGGTTCTATCTATAGTAAAGCTATAAATAGTTGGTTCTATTTATAGTATAACCGTAAAAGTTGGTTCCATTTATAGCATAGCTACAAATTGCTTTGTAGACACACGACCAAGATGTATGTACGTTTCAGTGTCGAGCACACGTTTGCTTTATATGTGTGCCTTATTGTTTGGCGCAAATAAATTGTAGGTAAGTGTCAGTGCACGAACATGTGTATGTATATCTGAATCTTGTATACAAGTACTTTGCGTGTAAATGTTCATTTATGTAGGTGTGTTCGATTTATTTTTGTTTTAAAAATACGCTTTACGTTTGTGCCAATGTACGAACATATTTGTCTGTCTGAATAATGGCGTTGCTTGCTTGCCAATCTATATCCAGTGTTTCTATTTTGATAATAGATTCACACGTTATCTTCAGTATGTATAAGCATTGACTGACGTACATACAGATACACAAACAAGTTAATTTTAGATAGAACCGGATACATACATATACATATATATTATATATATACATATACATATATATATTATACATATACATATACATATATATTAACTCGGTGGAAAGTACGTCAAGACTCGCATCAGACACACCAACCAACACAACTTGTAGCTGGTTATTTGAAACTCCAATTGCAATGGATAAATAAGTTCGATGAACATGTCACACATTTTCCTTGAATAAAACTCTAAAACAACATTAAATACTTACATACATATTTACTTACATATATACATTTATGCTTACAAACATACATATACACATACACACAGACATGAATACGTTCTTGCATACATAATTGCATACACGCATACACACATACTATCATACAGGCATTCATATATACTTGCATACATACATGCATACACGCATACTCACGTACTAACATACATGCATTAATACATACATTAATGCATACTTGCATACACGCATACTCACATTCTTACATACATGCATGTATACCTATATTATTTCATACTCACATACATGCATGTATACATACGTGTATACACACGTACTAACATACATGCATGTATTTCTTCATTAAAACATACTTGCATACACACATACTAACATACATGCATGTATACCTACATTATTACATACTTGCATACACACATACTAACATACATGCAGGTATACCTACATTATTACATACTCGCATACTCACATACTAACATACATGCATGTATATCTACATTAATACATACTTGCGTACACGCATACTCACATACTCGCATACATGCATGTATACATACTTGCATACCCACATACTCACATACATGCATGTATACCCACAATCCCTAGCTGCTGGGCATGTTAAGCGGCAGGCGTCTATGTACGGCATGCGGTCATTGCACTTGTCACGATCACCCCATCCTGAGGAGAGCCGGTTAAGCAAAGGCCAAGTGAAACAGAAGACCTGGCAAGAGCACGGGGATGCCACTAAGGTACGGGTGGTGTAGTGGTGTGCATACTATTTTAAAATACATACAATGCATAAATTCTATAGGCATTCCCATGCAGATACACCCACTTCAATGTTAGGGCGGACTAATTCTAAAAACGTATACAATACATGAGAATACATACGAATTCCGTTGCAGATACTCCATACACCCTTCGCTTTCGATGTAAACCAAACAGCAAATCTCATAACAAAGTATTGATCCAATGAATACAGAGAAGGATTGATGTGAACTAATTCACAACTTATACTCAACATAAAAACTAATTCCATACAGAACTCTGCCAGCAAAACCACCTCGTTTATCTATCCGCCCATCCCCACCAAGAGGAAAAGTATTGCGCCCAGTTTTAGAGGACAGTCACACTCTTCCGCGAATTTGGACTCAGCAGGTGCACTCACTGCCGCACTCAATGCTTCAGTCACAAGCAGTGGCGGTAGCTCACCCCGCAATCCAGGTGTTACCCTGTCTGATGCTGGTTTATCAGGTGCGTATATATATATGTATATATATATCCACTAGGTGCTGATGAACTGCTTTCAGAGGCCTCTGCTAGCTTATTCACGTTGTCCGCACTTTCTAAGGGGGACTGAATATATATATATAGCTATGTATGTAGGTATGGATGTATGAATGTACATATGTATGTAGGTATGTATGTATGTATGTATGTATGTATGTATGTATGCATGTATGTATGCATGTATGTATGTATGTAAGTATGTTTGTATGTATGTATGTATGTATGTATGTATGTATGTATGTATGTATGTATTTATGTATGTATGCAGTATGCATGTATGTATGTATGTATGTATTCATGGATATATGTATGTATGTATGTACGCATGTATGTTTGTAGTGTATGTAAATATATCTGTTTTTGTATACATATACATGAATATGCAATTGACTATGCTGTCCTGCTTTTAATACCAGGGGAAACTTCAAAAACAACGCAACACGTCAACCGTGTCCCAAGCGAAAGTCCAGACGACACACACACCGCTCGCACATACAGTACAGTACTCGGTACCAACGTGAGTAGTGAACTGGCACCTCTCAAGCTTAACAAGACTAAGAGCATGGCAATGGGTGGCCTAGGTGTGGGCACTGGCAATATGTCATCTCCTAGTACAACCTTCTTCCAGGCGGCTATGGCGAATGCGAACGGGGGAATTACTGGTGAGTAGACGAGTTGCCTATGTACGTGTATGTATGCATATATGCATGCGTGGAAATGGCAGTATGTCGTCGCGTAGTATGACTTCTTTCTTAGGTATAGTGTGTACGAGAATACACACACCACCACACACACACACACACACACACACACACATATATATATATATATATATTTATATATTTATATATATATCTATATATCTATATATCTATATATCTATATATCTATATATCTATATATCTATGTTTATAAATATCTAAATCTACACACATGTGTGCGTGTGTTTATATGAGTGTACGTGTATTGCCCACAAATGTAAGCTAACCCATCATCCTTCCTCCTTTCACCTGTCGTTTCTCAGCCACCCCCAACATCACACTGGAGGATCCCATTGGCCAGGCCATAGACATCTACACAGGATCCAAAGAGTTCTTTCTCTCGCGCCAGCACACTAACCTCACTCACCACCGAATGCAGAGAGAAGCCGCACTGTATGTTATGTGGTTGTCAAACGTATGGCTATCGTGTTTATGTATTATTTTGTCGTAGTCAAATGTACGGATATCGTGTGTATGTGTTATTGTGTTGTAGTCGAATGTATAGTTGTAGTGTGCATGTGCCCATTGTATCGTAGTCAACCGTACAGTTCGCGTCTGTATATGTCATGGTGTATTGCTTTGTGATAGATGTCAGGTGTTCTCATGTCTACATGGGCTTCATATAATATTTTCTGTCTGGCTCGCATAGTTAGTTGTCGTATCACCGTTTACAGAACGAAACGGCACAGTATTGTAATGTCGTATATTGTTTTTGTCCTTTTTTTGTATATCAAATTGTGATAGATGTCAGGTGTTATTATGTCCACATGGGCTCCATGGAATACTTTCTGTCTCTCTGGCATGTAAGTTGTCGTATCACTGACTGCAGACGGAGGCGGCACAGTATTGTAATGTCGTAAATTGGTTTGGTCGTGTTGTGTTATGTCGTAAATCGTCGTGCCTATGATTGTTATATTCTGTTTTTGTCGTTAATCGATTTGGTCTTTTCATGTTATGTCGTAAATAGTCTTGAATTGTTATACTGTTGTGTATGTTATGTTGGGAAGGATTCCAATTCACGGGCTCTAAAGATTCTCCTTCTGGCGTGCTAGCCAGGTGAGCGTTGGGGGTTCGTAGGGTTTAGGGTTTTATGGTTTTAGTGTTTTAGGGTTTGGGTCGTTCGGTTCTTCCCAGGAAGTATACTACTACTCTGGGATACTGTGGTGTACATTCACATCTCCCACAGGTTTCTAAAACCCTAAACCCTACATCAGTAGCACTGTTGTTTGCAAATGCTAAGCAAGTACGAGTGCCTTGTATTGGTATTGGGTTGTGCTTCGTCGTATAAGTTCGTCTCCAGAACATTGTTCGCCCATCTCTCTCTCTCTCTATATATATTTTATTTTATAATCCGTTTCTTGAAAAAATAGACAAACTGAACGCTTAGTGATTTAACGCTTATTAATATGCAGTGGTGGTGTGTGGGGGGTTGTGGGGTTTAATTTCTTCTTTGGAATTAAAATTGTTTTAACGCATACCAATGCACAGAGGAGTGAATCGCCGGTCGTCTGTGAATGTTATAGCAAATGTCATCGAAGAAACAGACGCCGACTGCAGGACGTCACCTGAGATATGGAACTCATCGCAACACAACCAAACCTCACCCCGAGGATCAAAGGACAACGGATCCACCTCCATGGGTGAGAGATCTTTGTGTGCATGATAAGTTATACTTGTGTACGGGGGTAACGTGTGTAAATCACATGTCTGAGTGTATGTATAGTATATATATATATATATATTATATAATATTATATATATATATATATGCATAAATACACACACACACACACACACACACAC